CAGGGCAGACTCAGACGTGCTGGGCTGAGGGAGGCCAGATCTACAGGCCTGTCATGGTCATGAAGAATGGCCAGCAGCTTGGGGACTAAGGGGTCAACTGTACCTAGCCAGGTAGCAGTCAACCCATAGAAATGCAGATCTGAGACAAAGGAATTTTTGGTTTTTCCCTCCTTTGTCTCTGAGCCAGTTTGCTCCAGATACTAAAGCGGACAGACAACATGTCCCTATCTGTGACGAGGCAGGCCAGCCCCACACCCCAACGGGAGAACAAACTGGCCTGCTCCAACAGCGGCCCAGGTACAAAAGCCTGGGAGGCAGCTCAGTCAGAGCTGACCTCTGGAGGGGAAGGAGCTCCCGCCCAACCACTGGAGCCACAGCTGCTGTTGCTGGAACAAGAACCGCCGGACCAGCCGCCTCCGCTGCTACTGTCCCCTGCCGGGCTCGACCGCAACGCCGGCCACGACGTGCAGCCCACCTACGTGCTGCTACCACACCAGACACCGAGGCACTAGATGCCGTGCTGGCCAATGCTGCAGGTGGGACCTCCGCCGGGTGGGATCTCCGCCGGCCCGTGGACTGGGGTAGGAAGCAACCCAGGGCAGGGAGCAGGAAAAACCCCAGCAGGCTTGGTATGTTTCAGGGAGGACTCCCCACCAAGCCAGTGGTGGGAAGCACTCACCACTGATAGGGCCCTGGGTTGGGGCCCAGTGGAGAGGGCGGGCCCAGGTCCCCCTACCCCTTCTTCCCCAATCCCGGAGAAAGAGCAGGACTAGGCCTCCAGGCTTGGGAGCTAAAGGACTAGGCCTCTGGGCCTGAATGTCAAAGGATGTTGCTTATGTCTGTCCCTCAGGCTCACTCCATGCAATGAGGCTGCTGCTAGAGTCTGGAGAGTGAGAATAAGGCTGGCCCAGGTAAGCGTGGCACAACATGAGTCAGAGACTATAGGAAGATATAGTTCTCTGGCAGCTGGCTGAGTTGACATAGAGCAAAGGGTGCCCAGGGGACCCTGTGCCCTTCCAGATGGCTGAGCTTGCAGCCCCTTCCCCTGGAAGAGCAGGAACTGAGGGGTTAAGGCTTTGCCACCTAAAACTTCTGCCAAGGCGGCCATGGAAGGTTAGGGAGAGTGAGGTGGCCATGGCCCCTTCCCCCTGTACAGGGGCTGGCACTTCTTCCCTCTCTCTTCTGTGATAAATTGTGAGGATCCCTTTTCTCTCCACTCTGCTCATCTGAGGAAGTGGGTTGTGCCCATGAGAGCACATAATATATAGTTAGTCTCTAAGGTGCCACAAGACCACTCCTTGTTTTTAAAGTTACAGACTAAACCGGCTCCCCTCTGAGACCCCTGCCCAGTGAATTTTAGAAAGTTCAGGTCACTTGACACTAGACAAATCCAAACAGGAGTAAGATGGACCTTTGTATGGGCGAGACTGCTACAGCAGTGAGAATGATTAACCTGAGGGCTCTACAGCAAAGGCTAATTCTCAATCAAGATAGGGTGTTTTTCTAACTGCTCCACTCTAGGAATGATTGTGGCCAGGTGCTTGGTTTTGCTGGATTAGAGCAACTTTAATCATGATTCCTGGGGCTACTTAAGCACCTGAAAATGCTAGAGGTTTTGCAGATGACTTAGAAATTAGCTGATAGGGGCACTGTATCAAATTCCTTAATTTTAAAAAAAAATTAATGTTAGGCCCACTCTAATACTATCATGTTCTCACATCTTGTTATTGGTTAGACTTAAAATTATAATGTATTTTCTTGCTTTGTTACTAACTCTTGAATACAACAAATATATTTGTTTCACCTCCAAAACTCCCCCTTTTCTGAATGTAACTTTGGCTGTGAGGGGTGTATTATCCCTAAAACACCCCTCCTCCTGGATTCCTGCTTTACAGACTAGACTTCCAGGTCCTAAATTGGTTCACCAGCCCTTTCTTCTCTCCACCCTGCTTCTGCTGTCAAACAGAGCCCTGACTCCCTGCCCTAGGGCACTGCTCCTTTGCAGGACTGACATGTCACACATATGCCTCTGATCTGAAACTCCTCCCCCACCAGCCCTCCTAAATGGCACTCCTGATTGTGAGGCCCTTCCATAGCCTGCAAGAGGCAGAGTAGCCAGACTAGCTGATTCCAGCTGGCCTTGCACTCTGTGAAGACAGATGTAGTAAACTGAGCAAGCTGTTTTAGGCAGAGCCCAGGACACAGAGTTAGCAAACTGCAATAGAGCCATGGGTGTCATGGGAACATGGCCCAGCTGCCTCCTCTCCATGCCCAACAACAAACTGGGCCCCCACTGGCCAAGGGCTCAGCTCTTAGGGGGGTGGTCTCCTTAACTGCCTGCTAACGAGTTAAGCAAAGGTATGGGGGAGGGAGAATTATGGAATAAAGGGTAGCAGGTTTAAAACTAATAAAAGAAAGTTCTTCTTCACACAACGCGTAGTCAACCTGTGGAACTCCTTGCCACAGGAGGCTGTGAAAGCTAGGACTATAAAGAGAAGCTAGATAATTTCATGGAGGTTAGGTCCATAAAAGGCTATTAGCCAGGGGATAGAAATGGTGTCCCTGGCCTCTGTTTGTCAGAGGCTGGAGAAGGATGGCAGGAGACAAATTGCTTGATCATTGTCCTTGGTCTACCCCCTCTGCGGCACCTGGCACTAGCCACTGTCGGCAGACAGGCTACTGAGCTAGATGGACCTTTGGTCTGACCCAGTACAGCCATTCTTACGTTCTTATGAGTCCCAGGCAGGTCTCTAACCAGACTGGTGTTTATTTCTCATTGCAGTGATCACTGTGCACAGATGTACACGGGGAGAGACACTAATGCAAATAACTCATACAGGCAACCCCTCCCCCTGCAAAATCACAGCTTGGTCTCTGCCACGGGGACTGCAATTCTCAGGGATCCCCCCACAGGGCAGGGCTGGGGATTAGCAATGGGCTGTGAATCTGTGAGCCATTGTGTGCCAAGGATGGAGGCAGGGATGGACACTGAGTGGTTGATTGCTCTAGCTGGGTTAGGATGTGTCCCTGCTGCCAGGGACGGCCCTGCTGTGTGTGTCTGAGTGTGTGCAGTTCGCCTCTCTAAACCAGGCTTGGGCAAAATATGGCCTGCAGGCCGCATTTGGCCCCCCCCAACTCACTGGATCCAGCTCGCGGACACTGTGGGGAGCCCCAGGCAGGCTACCTTGCTTGTCAAACAGCCCAGCACACTGCTCAGAAAAGTGGCTGTAGGGCCATTTCTCTATAAAACTGAGAAGTAAAGGCTTTGGGTGTAACTCCCATCCCCAGCATAATCCCATTGGCTGGCTTCTGGCCGGAAACTGGTCAATGGAAGCTGCCTTTTTGAATAATAGGCAGCCATGAAGCACTAGCTCCCTGCTCAGTTATTCACACAAGCACATGGCTGGGCAGCCTGTGCAGGAGCAGGGCAGGCAGAGAGGGTGGCTACTGGCTGAGAAACTTTTTAAGCCCTTACCTCTGCAGGGAGGCAGGCTGGTTGGGCTGCTGCTAAGTATACTGGCCAGACCTGGCCATTGGCCCTTCCCCAACCCTCTGGCCCCCTCCTGCACCCATACCCCCTCCCAGATCTGTCACTCAAATCCTCTGCCCAGATCACAATCCCCTTTCACCCTAGGTCACAAACGAAACCCCTGCAACCTAGTCCCCTGTCCTAGGTCATATTCCAAAACCCTGCATCCCAGTCTCCTGCTCTAGGTTACAAATGCTTCCTTCACGCAAACTCCCTCCCAAACTGCACTCTCTCTCCTGCAGCCCAATCCCTTACCCCAAGCTCCCTGCTGCACCTAACCTCCATCCCAGACCCCGTATCTCCTCCATTAATATCCTGGAAAAGTGCGGCCCTCGACTGCTTTCCAAAATCTTGGGAGTGCCACCCCTCTATCAAAAATTGCCCACCCCTGCTGTAAGCCAAGCTGACCTCCCTGCCTTCCCCAGTCCCAGCATGGGGCTCCCATTCCACATGCCCTCCTCTGAGTAATGCTACGCTGAGCAGGTGTTGCACTAGTTATCACAGTGCTAGCTGGGACATGACCTTCCACAATCTGCCCCCAATATATTGGAATCAACCTGAGTCCCATCATAGACACAAGGAGAGCTCTGGTTCTTCTAAGCACCCCAGGCTGGGGATACTATGGAAGGAAGGATGGCCTGTTGCAGTCCTGGACTGTCTGTGAAGAAAGCTCTCAGGCTCCCCGAGGTTTGTGTGTCTCCTGGGAAAGGGGAAGCCTGGCAGGAGTGGAGGCACTGCTCCCTCCTTCTGGGGCCCTGCTGGTTTGGAGCATCAGCACTGGACCCAGGTGTTCAACAGCCCCATAGCTGTGTATTGGGACTCTCTTCAGGCTGTGGGTCAGTCTACTCCACCCTCACAGCTCCCAACCCCTAAGGGCTGTGCCCTGGTCCCATCCCCAGGCTGAGTCCCAATTCCTTCTAGGGCTGTGGGACAGAATCTAGTCCCCCATGCCACTGGGGCAGAGCTACTGGTGGGTCTGGTCTCACTCAGAACAGCAGGGATTAAAAACAGACAACTCTAACCGGTTTGGCTTGTGAATGGCAGAGGGTGTGGTGTATGCAGCCACATGCCTTACTGTTAACCATTCACAGATACTCTTCTCCAGACCCCTTCCCCCTTGTCACAGCACGGAAGACTCTAGCAGGTCATGGATTATCCCTGTGCTTCTAGCAGAACCTGTTGGAGAGTAAATGAGCTAGCACTGCATTGCGATTGGTGGAGCTAGAAACCCCCAATCAGCCGATAGGCTCTTACAGAGCTGGTGCAAGTCCACCACTCGTGGGGGGAAGCTTAAAGGGCCAGCACTGCGTTGTGATAGGTAGATCTGGACCATTCTTCCACCCACACTCGCATTCCAGTAAGGCGTTGTAAAGGTCAGAAGTCGAAGGTCATCAGGTCGCAAAGCCCAATGGGTCACGTAGGAAGATCTTCCCCTTGTGGCCAGAATGGAGGGGGCAGCATCTGTTAGGCAGGGTTGAGGGGAGGGGAGGGCTGGCACCAGTGGAATGGTGCAGAACATAGGCAGCAGGGGTCAGTGCTGGGAAACGATCCCGCTGGCCAGGGAGTGAGTCTGCAGAGAGAGAGAGATGGGCATCAAGGGCTGGCCCAGCAGACTGGGAGAAACGGAACCCTGCCCCACCAATGATCCCTCCCACTGCCCGCACCCTGTCCCCGGAGGAACAGACTGAAAGGGACAGTAACTGGGGGACCATCCCAGCCCTCTTCCCCACAAACCTTCATGGCCTGGTGGATCCAGTCATGGAAGGCACCCACCCTGGTGTAGACCCCCGGCTTGTGGGGCAGGGCACAGCCAGTGCCCCAGCTGACCACGCCGCAGAGCCGCCAGCGCGGGGTGCGGGAGATGCTGTCCTCACATACAAAGGGCCCCCCACTGTCGCCCTGCCAAGAGGGAGACAAGAAAGAGTTCAGTGACCTGCCACGCACCTGAATTCCCTCCCATCTCACCCGCCCCAGCAGCCCCACCTGACAGGCATCGGTGCCACCCTCGGCATAGCCAGCGCAGAACATGCGGGGGTAGATCTGGTTTCCGTAATACTCAGGTGAGTTGCACAGCGCGGTGCTGATGATTGGCACGGAGGCCTCCTGCAGAATGCTGGATTGCTGCCCTGGAGAGGAGGTGAGAATGAGCAAGGGGTCCTGCTGCCCGACCAAGATCCCCACCTTAAACCAGCCCTTGGTCCCGAGCCCAGCCTCCTACCCTGTACCACCACCCCCAACCATCCCTGCCCTGCTTCCACCCTCCAAACCAGC